GCGGCCCAAGATCCCAGAAATGAGGGAAGGGAGAGCGTCCCCTGCGGGTTTAGCATCCGCACCCAAAGGAGCAGGGCAGAGATCGGAAGAGACCCCCGAGAGAGGCAAAGCGGTTGGCCAGCCTGAGGGGTTCGGCCGCGTGTTGATGGATTACATAAATATTTCCATACAGGAATGCATCTCTGATCACGGGCAGCTAGTCAGTCAAGGAGGTCAATCCGGAATGACTGTCTTCTCAGTGTTCACAAAGACTGGCCTCTGAACCAGACTGGCCTTCAAACCAGGAAGGTACCGTGAGGTGTTTCAAATTTGGAACGTAGGCAAGGAGGGCTCTCACCTACACAGGCGTTGCAGCCAATGACTATTGGAAAGTTGAAGGGATTGGAGATAAATTCTCACAGATGGAGACCACCACGGGGCATCGAAGCACGTAACGGTTTCTTCTCTGGGTTTTATCGGGTTTTATTTGGTCTGGTTTAGGGAAAATAAATGATCATCCTGTTTAACCCATCACCCGCCGCGCCTTTGCTCTAGGGTAGAAAATAGCTTGAGATCAAGGAACCCAAATTCTTACATTCCATTCGCTTATTTGCTTTCTTGCGAGCACCTTCTGTTTCGTACACTCCTCTTCCAGCTGCTTCAAGTTCGTCTGGGCATTCTGGAGCCTTTCCTGAAGGGAAAATGGGGTGAATAAAGTCTATTCAATGTGACAACTCTTCTTTAGGCACGTAAGAGGAACCCCAGGCCTCCCAGACTATTAGAATAACACTGGATACTGGGGCGTCTGGGTGGCTCAGTCGGTTGGGCGCCCGACTTCCGCTCAGGTCATGATCTCACGGTTCGTGAGTTTGAGCCCCGCGTCGGGCTCTGTGCTGACGGCTCAGAGCCTGGAGCCCGCTTCGGATTCTGTGTCTCCCTCTCTCTCTGCCCCTGCCCCACTCGCATTCTGTCTCTGTCTCTCTCAAAAATAAATAAACGTTAAAAAAATTTTTCAAGGTAGATTTTATAAAAGAATGTGCTGAACCAAACACAACCAATGCCAGAATGTCTGACGCACAGGGAACTTTGTGGGTGCTATGCTAAGTCGGGAAGGAAAGACCAGGATGCCAGCTCAAGTTCACGGAGACAGCTAATGGAGGAGGGTAGTGCTGGTATCTTTTGAAGAGTGATAATCCACGAAGCCAGTCTGAAATGATTTAGTATCGATATCAAGCTTTTGGGTTATTTTTCAAAATAGTTTCTCACATTTTCATGGAAAACAATTTTAAGCTGACCCAAATTGCTAGCTGTGGCTAATACTACAAGGGTCAGCCCCTGCCTTCTGTAAACCCAGTAAGTATACTTATTAATTCTTGAGTGCTCTCAGGAAAGGGCTCTGTGAAGCTTGTCAGGAAAAGACGATATTGCCCTTTCTACCCAGGGGACCCGGGAATCTTACTCCAAACCCACCTCCACCTCATGGGGGAGGGAACCATGAGCACCACACTGGGGACAACAATCTTCCTCTAATCTAAGCAGGACAGAGAGAGAATAAGGTGCCAGGTCTGTGCCCCTCCCTCGCTCCCTGTGGCAAAGGCCAGCCTGCCTCTACTGCTTTGGAGTGAGAAACGTAGGCGCTGCCCCAAACCTCTCCGTCCACCTCAGCCTCCGTGAACAATCATTTCCAAATCCTTCAGCTCCCCTTCCCAAATCTTGCTTGAAACTGTCCCATTTCCCCCTCCTTATGGGAATAATCTGAATTTTATCCCTTGCTATTTTTACTTTATCGGTGGCCAGACGTCCTTTTCAAAGCCAGCC